AATAAGTGTGGACTTAACACACCAAACACCCCCAAGACAGTTTGAGGACTGGGGAAATTCTGGGAGTTGAAGTCCACACATCTTCAAGTTGCCAAGGTTGAGAAACACTGGTTTAGCCTAAGGAGGAGAAGCTGGAGGAGAGACAGGGTAACAGTTTTCCAACTCTTGAAGGGTTGTCCAGGGAAGAGGCTGTGGATTTATTCTCCATCATGCCCGAAGGCAGGACAAGAACCAACAGGTGGAGGCTTTAGAGATGGACATCCAACCTCAAAATAAGGAGGAATTTCCTGACTGTGAGGAAAGTGGAACTGTCTGTCTCCTGGAGTCATGAGGGCTCCACCCCTGGAGGGTTTCGAGTCAATGGAGATGATCTGAAGATTCCTGCCCTGGGCGAGGGGCAGGTTAGATGACCTCCAAGATCCCTTCCAACTCTGGTTCTCAAAGAGACCCAAGAGCCATGAGCTGGACCCGTGGATTGCAGGTGCGAACAACTCAGGGGTGTTTTTTGGACCCCAGAAGCATCCCGGATCTCGACTCCTTTTGGGGAGGAGAAATTTAGACCATTTCAGAGCAGGCAACCTTGGTTGGGACCGGGACTCCTGCTTCTTGCCGTCCATGACACCCACAAAACCGTTTCCAGCGCCCTAACTCAGTAGGCTCCTATCTTTCTCTTAACTCTTTCTCGGTGCTGACTTTCCTGGGTCAACACAGGGAAGACCATTCTTGCAACTATTCTGATTGCGATTGTCCCCCCTTCTCCTTCATGCACTCGCTTTGCATTGCTCTCTAAAATCAAGTTCCTCTTTTGGGGGTTTTCTGAAGGGCGTGGTCCAAAACGTCAAGTTTGGGGCTGCGATGAAGCGACCGAGGCGCTCCCTGTTTTCGTGCGCACTGCGTGCATCGAAGCTCAGGAAAGCTGTTGCACCTGGGAATCCAAAACCGAGCTGGGTGCAGCCAGAAATTTTAGCGTCACAGGCTGAGTTTGTCGTCAGGCAGCTGAATCGGAGGCAGTCCAAATCTGCCGCCAATGGAGCCCAGGAAGATCTAATCTGGCCTTTTGCAAATGGCACCTTCTGGAGGTGTTGGGATTGCAATTCCCAGAATCGCACGCAGTTGAAGGAAGTTGCTGTTCCAACACATCTGTAGGGCATCCAATTGGGGGAATGGGTCCAGCCCAGCCCAGCCCAGCCCAATTTAACCCACCCAGCAGGCAGGTAGAGACGAGCTCACAATGTCTGGAGAGCAAACACGATAGGAGAAACACCAGTGGTGTTTCGGCGCCTGCCAGAACGTTTGCTTTCTGACATTACTTCGGCTCTCACAAGTTTCAAGGATTAAAGTTTCCCCTTCTAGGTCGTCTTTTCTCTCTTAATATCAGAGAGCAATTGTGTAACGCGAGCTAGCCCGGAGCATTTGCAAGCAGTATGAAGCAGGATTTTTAATCTGCCGACTTCCCCTGCTTGGTCGGCTGGTTGCTTCTGAGTCCCAGCCCCAGGAAGAAAAGAGGCCGAGGGTTCCCACTGCTCCTGGCTGGGATTCACTTCATCTCACTTCTTCCAGGGGAAAAGCATGGCAGATGGCGATTCCCCGCTCTAGCCCCCCAGCGCGATTTGCTAGAGACTATTGGATGAGAAATGCAGCTGGTGAACAGGGAAAAAGCACCGGGGCCAAACCATGTTCGTCAGTCCAAGCGTAGGGGCGCATGTGCATAACCCAGAGGCCTCGGTTTGTTTCAGCCGGAACCGGTGCTCTTTTCCCCCAGCCTGGACCCAGAGAGAGCTCTTCTCCCAACCTCCTCATTTTCAGAAAAGCGCCTCTCTTCCTGACCGCGCAGCTGCCTCCTTCACTGCATGCAGCGAAGCTGAAGCGAGCAGCTTCGCTCGTCCCCAGGACCACCTGTCCCACCCGCTGCCACGTTCAGACATGTCCTTCCCTAAGCCAGGAATGCGGACAGCTGGCCCTCGAGCCACTGAGCTCCAGGACCACTTCGGAGGGTGCCTGCAAACGCTCAGCTGCCAAGAAAGAAAAGGCATTTCCTTTTTCGAAGGAGCTTCTCCCCGTGGCTTCTGCCCGCCCAGTAAGAGGGGACAGGTTGGGCTCCCTCCGGCGTCAGGAATATCCTCTTCAGGGACCACGAGGTCAGGCCTTCGAAGGGAGAACATCCCTTCCCAGGGGAGACGGGCTCCCGGCCGCCTGGCTTTCGGGAAAGCCACCAAAGGCCTGGGAAGAGAGAGGCCCCTCCGGCTATGAGGCTGGAAGTCGGGGCGGTTCCTCTGCTTCAGTCAGGGCCGATGAGGACCTTCCCTTCCTTACGGACCACTCTGAGCTTTGGCGTTCTGAGCAGCACGATAAACGGCAGTAAGCAAAGCTCTTTTCCGATAGCCGTATTTATGAAACGTCACCCTATTTTTAAGGAACCTTTAGCGGACAGAAAGTTCTCCAAGGGCTGGGAAGACTTTTGCTGGCTAACTGGGGTGGATTCATTTTGGATCCCGCCTCCCATTTCCATGGGAGACAATGACGCATAGCTCAGTCGTGCTGTGGGGCCAAAGGCCTGGAGGCACGGCCATCTTCGAGAGATGCAGACTTAACCAGAAACTTTTCCTTCCCTACATTTGTTGCAACTTCCAGTGGGGGGAAAAATCATTATTTTTTTGTTCTTTCATTGCCATTTTATTTAATTTTTTAATTTTTTTCCTTTTACATAAAAACTTCAGTAAAAATTGGATAAAGTAAAATGATTTAAGCAGTAAAATCAATCTTATCAACATAGCACATGGCCTGCCCGAACCCTGAGGCAGCCTGTTTGCAAATATTTACATGATAACAGATTAAACCTTGCAGAGGACAACAAAAAACAAAAGAAAAGGAAACAAAAATGACCCCCCCCTTTTAAAACTATTCTTACAAAGTGTTCCCATGATATCAACATGTGTTGGGCTAAAAGGGAGGGGGGCAAATGAAAGAAAAATTCAATATATTCACATATACGTTAAAATATCATACAGATCTTGGTGGGAGAGGAGATGAACTCACACGTTGTTGCACTAAGAAAGCACCGCCAGATGACAAGTTTTGGGTCTGCTTGCAAAGAGGGAACATGGAGTGGTAGTGACCAGGGGTGGGTGTGCAAATGCTTTTGCACGCCACTGTTTCTGCCTGGCCTCCAAACCCAGTCAGGAAAGGAGACGGTCGAGCCGCAAGATCCGTGGTGTGGTTATCCAGAGAGGACCCCACAAAGGTGTGAACCTTGCCCAGGAAAAGCATACGGTCCACAACAGGCAGGATCCGGTGAACGAGGGGAGAGCGTCACCCTGCTGTGCTTATTCCATGTCGGTGTCCTCTTTGGGTTTATAAACAGCCCCAAATTTCTGCATGTATTTCTTGATATATTCCTTTGTTTTGTGTTTCACATTCTCGTTGCATTCCAGGTCTTCAGGAGTTTTGCAGTATTTCAGTTCCTTGTTCATCACGCCGTGGGTGAGCTGCGAGACAAGAAGGAAAAGAGAACAGAGCTGGTTAGGAAGACAGAAGGCCTGCCGGTCGCCGGAAGGCAAGAAGACCTTGGCTGTTTTCTGGAAGCAGTGGGGGGGGGAAGCTGCAGATGACGGACGCTTTTTGAAAAACCATGCCCCTGTATGCCACAGAAATTAAGCAGGAAACATGTAGGCTGCCACATTATTCTCATGATCAGGAACGGGGAAAGGTGAAGAACTAGCAAACCAAAGGATTGGGCATTTGTTAGCAATGACAACCACGCAGGTGCTCCCTTTGGCGTGGGATGTGGTTAATCTTTGCCAGGGGTCCTCAAGAAATTTTTGGGTTTGGATAAGGAAGGCAAAATTCTGCGCCGTTACGAGTGAATGACAATGCCAGGGATTTCAAGGAAAATCTCCTGGCTCTGATCTGATTGCCACCAACTCAGTGGGCATTCCTGATTGAAAAAATGCCTCTGCTTCCAAGCAATCAAGCAGGCATCTGGGTCTGTTTCTCTTCATAAAAACGGCACGCAGATCCTCCTGGCAACTGGCTGGAAGTAAAGACCCAACTCAGCCCCCCAAATGGAGAACAGCGGGAAGCGTCTTGTTCTAAGAGGAGGAGAAATGCAGCAATAGGGCAGACGTTTCCGGTTGTCAACAGCACTTCTTCCAGAGTAGGAGTCCAGCTGCCCCAAGCTGGCCCTGGCCACCCTCTGGTCCCCTGCAGATGTGAGCAGCTGCTCGTCACATACATCTGGGATGCTAAATGGAAAATGCTATTCAGAAGACAAGAACCTCCCAGAAACAGAAATCTGGCAGGAATTTCAAAGAAGTCTTTCATTTCCCAGTGGTGTGGCTGGCACGTAACAATTCTTATTCCCATTCTTCCAATTTAAAGACACAGCGAGCTCCTTTGCCTTTGGGTAAAACTTTCTTTTTCTCCCACCGCTATCTCAAGCCTGCCTGCCTGCTTTCCTTCCCAAATGTCTCTAAAGTAAATTAAAATGCAGCCTCAGGCAACTATACTTTGGATCAGTCTTGATTCCCTTTTGCCCTAGATATTATCTTAATTCTTCCTGATTTTGAAGGAAGAACTTGAATCACATTCTGAGCTAAGTGGGGCAGATTCATCTTCCCAGCAGCCATGCTACACCGATGTGTCTCAAAGCTTTCACTTGAAGGCTTGTTTCGAAAAGAGGCTTCTAGAAACTTGGAAGGAGGAAAGGAGAGCTCAGCCCTGGGAGGGACCAGTCCCCCCACATTTCCCCAAATGCCAGTGATATCACATCACCTGGGGACTTCAATGCTTGCTTGTCTGTGGAGGCCTTGAAGCTCACTTCTGGCCCTGACCATTTTTACTGCAAGCACACGCTGGAACCAATGCACGAGCTGAAGTAAACTCACCTTGCGTGCCAGATGCTTGAAGTCTTCAGTTGTGGTTATCCGCCCAACTTTGCAGTCTGGTTTGCGATAGGGGTTCAGGCATTGCACGATAAACTGTGACATCTGGGGGGGGGAGGAGATGATATGAAATCCCAGGCCTTAAAACCAGCACCACCCTGCAAGGGAGGACGACGGACTGGACAGGACAGGACAGGACAGGCTAACTAAAACCCGACACTAACATTAGTGTCACGTTTATTTGGATTGTTTCATTACGAACGCCGCCCAGAGTCACTACATGAGATGGACAGCTATATAAATGTGGTAAATAAATAAGCATAAATAAGCATCTTCACTTGGAAGATGCGGTGCACAAAACATGTACATTTTTCTTGAATATTATCAAACTTGCTCTCGGGGTAGTCAAAAGGGCAGGGAGGGACACCTAACGGCAGGATTAATAACCCAGCTGCACAACAGGAGCAGCTGAACTGGCTTCACCCCGAAAGAGGGAGCGACTCACCTCTTTCCGGAACACCTCCTTGCTCTTCTTGGCCAGTTCACTGGAAGTATCTGCTTCAGCAGTTTTGGGCTTTTTGGAAGACTAGAGAAAGGCCCACCCAAACACGGAAGAATTATTCTGGGAAACAATTGTTGTATTTTACAGAAAATGAAGGTTCCCCTCCCCCCCCCCCCCGCCCCACCCCCAGAGCACAAGGCAGCTGAGAAGACAGAAATATATGAACGCTTGCCTTGGGAATTCAGACAGTCATTTCATGACTTATTCTTTTATTTGTATTTTCCATGTTTTATATCACTGGAAACAAGCCACAGGAAGTTTTTGTGACTCAGAACAGGCTTGTGGGGTGTTCAGGGCCTGAGTTGACCATGTTGTTGAACCTCATTTTAGAGGGTATCTTCAGGGTGTCAGAGTCTGCACGCTCAATTCCCAAGTCCAGGAAATCCTCTGGAGCCTATTTGCTTCCAGTAAAGATTTCTTTATTGAGAAGCAGCATACAGCATTCCATAGATTGCTGAGACTGACCCTCCCCGGCCAGAGCTCTCCTTTTAACCCCCCTCTATTCTAATTTTCCCGCTTGATTCCTTCGTGCCTCTTCGCGCCTCTTCTTTGGTCCCGTGGCCGTCCGACCTTGCTGGCGCCTCTCGCCAAGATAACGGTGCACCTGGCCTCTGCTGTTTATTGTCCACCCTCCCTCTTGACTTTTATGGCAGGAACAAGCAAGCGGGTATTGTACAAGTTATGGTTCTTGTCTAAACTAACATTTGAACCTACTAGCTATTTGTCTACATTATAAATTTTCTAATGACTTTCTAATAGCCTTTCAATAGTTGCTTGCATAGATCCTGACACAGGGTTTATTTGAGAAGTTCTGTAATGATATTTTCTCTACAAGGAGATTACAAGGGACTCAAAGTAGCAGCCTAGTTTAGATGCCCAATGCAATTTAAGATACAAGCAATGGTTTGAACTTTGGGATGGAATGCAGGGTTAGGGCTGCTTTCATGTTCCATTTGCTCAGCAGTTGAATCTCTTGACAAACCCTAGTTAGCACAAACTGTGGTCCACACACACACTTTGATCCATGGGTTGATTCTGTCATTAGCACCCAAGTTGGTTCAACCATAGTTCTAGAGCAGCTCTGGAGCCAAGCCTTGTTGTGCAAAAAATCAAGTCTGATCTCTGTCTGCAAGATCTGGAGAAGATCCATCTCCTTTGGGGCAGAAATCTCTGGCGTTTGGAAGAAGCTGAGCGTCCCCTATGCAGGCGCTGAAGAGAAATGGGTAGCCGCTGGGGCCAATTCGCCTTCAAATTACTAGCCTCCTGGCTGTCTACAGGGGAGGAGTGGGCAAAGACCCCTTATTTGTTCCCCAAATTCTGCTGATTTTCCCAACAGCAGAGTTTTTCAGCCAAAGCCAGTTTTGCAGCCAGATCGTTAATTTCTCATTGATTTGCGATTTAGATGTTGCTGGACTGAAGTCTAGAGCAGTGTTTCTCAACCTTGGCAACTTTAACACATGTGGACTTCAATTCCTAGAATTCCCCAGCATGCTGGCTGGGGAATTCTGGGAGTTAAAGTCCACCTACCTTAGAGTTGCCACAGTTGAGAAACTCTAGTCTAAAGAATAGTTCAAAGCAGACTTTGCAGGGAAAATAATATCCCCACCCCATACTTCCTTTAACGGGAAAAAAATGCTGAAACCTTAAGCTTTTCCCTCCTTGGAGGCAATTCATTTTCCAATGGTGGAGAAAGCCCCAAATCCCTACATTCTTTCCTGGAGAGTACCATAATTTATACCTAAGGCCTTATTTGTTGTTCAAAAGAAAAACAAATAGCTGGCTCCTTCTTCTTTTTTAAAATGTACATAAAGGCCTAAGAGTCAGGTGGTTATATTGCCCAAGTTACTAGTTAGGGAATGCAGAGAGATCCCACCACTATTACAAAACCTTGCCTTAGCAGCAGCTTCCTCCAACTCACCTTCATGGGGTTTTCATCGTACGTTGGTGTCCCAAGATCCATTTCAGCCTCGTGCTCAAGACTGGCATCATCTTCGGGGCTGTCCCAGTTGGGGGGGTCCCACTGGGTTTGCCTGCAAAAAGGTGAGCGTCAGTCCTGGCCCAACAGAGACCCCGAAGCCCACGCCGCTGCTGCGGTGCTGGGTATTCAGGAACAGGACCTGCCAGGATGTTGAAGAAGGCCAATGGCCATCAAGGTCCCAAGTCCTCTCCCTCTTGCCTCTGCCCCGCCGGCCAGACGCCTCCGTTACCTGGTGACAACGTGGTAGTAGTAGATCTTCCCCTCAGGATCGCGGGCTGTCTTCCAATTGGGGGGGAGGACAATTGTTTTGGGCTTGGGGGGAGATGGGGGAGGCAGGTCCAAGAGGTTGTTGGCCACCACCAGATCTGGCTGGAAGGGTTAAGAAAAAAAAAGGAAGCTGGCGGTCAACAGATTAACCCGCAAAGCAAACGTCTTCAAAAACCTAAACGTTTCTAGACTGCTTTTATACTTAAAGAGGACGTGAGACAGGATAAACTGGGTTAAATCTTCTCAGGAATATTTCTACTGCTAGGAAGTGTAAACTGAGCATGAAGCACCTTTCCAGGCTGAACACCTCAAATGCATACTAAGGCAGTGTTTTTCAAACTGGGCAGCTTTAAGATGGGCAGACTTGAACTCCCAGAATTCCCCAGCCAGCATGGGTGGCTGGGAAATTCTGGGAGTTGAAGTCCACCCATCTTAAAGCCACCCAGTTTGAAAAACACTGTATTAAGTATCCCTTTCTTAAATACAAGCAAAGAAAGTTGTTGAATCACATTCTAGAAACCAAGTCCAGAGGTCTATTTTCTCTGCCCTACTTGGACACCACAAACTATCTTCCCATGATACTCAGACATGAATGGCACAGACAATTTTGCACCATGTGGCACTGAACAAGTGGTACTTATGACCAGACCTTGTACTTATGGCTGTTGCAGTGTCCCCATGGCCACGATTTGTGACCTTCCCTGCCAGCTCCCGACAAGCAAAGTCAATGGGGAAGCCAGCAGGAAGTCTGAACTTACGGTCACATGAAGTTCTTGCTTAATGACCTGTGTGGTCATTGCTCAACAATGGCAACTGGGACTGCCAAAACTGTTGTGGCTAAGTGGCACAGTCATGGGGTTTTTCAACTTACAACTGTGTCACTTAATGATGGAATTTCCAGTCCCAATTAGCATAATTAAACAAGGATTACCTGTATTAAAAGTATTTTTATTTAGATGGGCTCCAGTAACATAATCTTCCAAGTCTGATTGTGCTGCCCCTCCTCCCTCTTTGATATTCATGTGAATTGGGGTGAGGGGTGTCTGCCTGAGACATTTTAGTAATCCTCCCCCATTGCTGGGACTTCATGTTTCTCTTTCTGCTGCTTTGGTGACCGATATTCCCTCTCTCTGTCAAGGTCATCCTTTTTACTCTCTACAGCAATCGATTTCCAAAGATTCTTCCCACCTGCTAAAATCTGGGCACCACCACATGAAATGGAAAAGCGTCCTCCCGCCTCCTACCTGCTGGATCGGTGGGGGCTGTCCCGTTGTCACAATGGTGGCCACTGCTGTTGTGGGCTGCACCACCACACTCGGAGGATGGGCAGTATAAATCTGTTGCCCTTGGATGTACTGAAGACTTGGCTGTGCGTAGCTCTACAAGAGATGGCAGACCCATTGGCAAGAATCAGTTTGCATACTTAAAAGTGTGAGAACGAGGATGAGTGACAGGGAGGTGAAGCCCACTCCCCACAAAAAGATTCCTATAAAAGACGAGGGCGAGGTGACAAAGGGGCCTATCCTCTCTAACTTCATATTCTTCCCAGAAGGTGGAGAACATCTAAGGGCAAGGAGCATCTTGAATCTACCCTCAGTGATAAGAAAAGGCTCCTACTTCATCTTGATGTCTTTATGGGCACGTCCACTCCTGGCAACAGCGTGGACGTGGTTTGCCACTACAGAAGTCTTCCAGGTTTTTTTTTTTTTAAATTTCCTAGTCTACCTTACAGCCTGGGACTTCCTGGTGATCTCCCAGCTTTCAAGGCAAGATTGGCCAGATGCTTCCACCTGCCAAGATGCCCAGCAGAAGAGCCTCTGCGACCATCTCCAGAGCAGGGGGCACCAAGTACAAGCTTTGCCCAGAGGAGAACTCGGGTTCAGTTCCTGCCTTCTCCACCCGCTTCGATGGGCCGGCGACAGGGCACTTGCCTGGAGCTATGGAGAGTTGGGACCTGGTCCTAAGAGGCAGCATCGGACAAGACGGGCCCGTGCTCCATGCTCAGGAAGTCAGCTTCCTACACTGAGATCCCACTGGGGAAGGCAAGGCAAGGTATGCCCTTGTTTGGAGAGGAAACAAAGCAGAAAAGCAAAGCTCAAACCAAGTCTCACCACTAAATGATAAAGTTATATACCTTCCACCGACCCAAGCGTGAAAGAAGCCTAGCACTCCTGCTTTCTTTCCAAGCGTGCTCTAATGGGCAGGCTCACTGAAATGCTGGTCACATCACATACCCCTCCTTGCTCCACCCCCTCTGGGACAATTGTCTCAGCCTCCGCAGGGCACGATGGAGCCACCCCAGGCACCGGATCGGCAGCCGCTGATGCTCGAGGCAACTTCCCCTGATGGAAGATTTCATTTCACCCCTTGCATCTCCCTCTCCTGATCTGCCAGCAGAAATAACTTTTTTAGAAGCTAGGCAGGCGGATGGCACATACAGAGGATCAGGCAGGGCCCCGGACCCAGGGGCTGCCTCGGGCAACTGAACTGGGCATTGCAGAAGTCCATGACCCTGTTTGTTACTTTTGTGGAATTTTTATTGAATTCCTGCCTCAAATGCCCCAATAGCTTGACCAGCCCACTTCCCCTGCTCTATCCATTGCTCCTCCTCCAGCAAAAGAAGCTCCATTCAAATATCTCTTCTCAAGACAACTGTCTCTTCTCTCTGATGCATGGAGAACATCCAAGGAGGCGAGTGACTGGGAGGGTTAGATCTTATTTTATGGAGGACAAGAAGCTACCGAACCCCTTGGAAGAGGAGAATCTGCTACATGCTGCTTGGGGAAAAAAGATGGAGGCCATTTCAAGTCTTGCTCAGTGCCCACAAATGGCTCCAAGCAGGTGAGGACTCGGATCTGGCTAGAAAACTGTCGGGAAGGCTCTACAGAAGACCTCCAGAACCCACTACAGTCTCCCATGGGGCATTCCCAAGTTTGAACTTTCCCCAGAGAGAAAAGTAAGAGTCCCTATAGTGTTAAAGACTAGCCAGAACAAGACAGACCTCATGGGGCTTCTTGTAGAAGGCCCCCATGGGAAAAAAGGTGACAAAAAGGAGGAGCCTGCCTGAAACAGAACCTGCTTTCTGGAATGAGGCAAGACTGGAACTGAAAGATGCTTTTCTCCTGAAGGAACTGGAGTTTCCCCACTCGCTGGACTCCCAAGGCCTGTGGCTGATGGGAACTATAGTTCCCACTTATCTGGCCAGCAGGTTAGAGAGGGCAATATTAGCCACTGTTTGGAACTACTCAAGATAAGATTTTTCTATGGTGCTGCTGCAAATGTTTCCTAACAATAAGACCAATTTGAAAGTGGAACCAGGTGCCCAGAGAGGTGGTGGGGTCTCCTTTACTGGAAGACTTCAAGGGGAGGCTGGACAGCCACCTGTCTGGGATGTTGTAAGCTGGGTCCCTGCACTGAGGGTTGAGCAGATGATCTCAGCGATCCCTCCCACCTCTGAGAATTGCTGATTCTAGGAGCAGTTTGACAGTGGAACAGGGACCCAGAGAGGTGACGGACCCTCTGTCGCTGGATGTTGCCAAGCACAGAACAGCAGCCATCTGCCTGGGATCCTTTAATCAGGATTCCCGTACTGAGCTGGGGTTGGAACAGATGGCCTTGGGCGTACCCTTCCAACTCTACCAGCTTGGTGTGTCCCTGCTTGGAGTGCACCGAGGCCTTTCTCCACGAATGACCCAGGTGGAACCCACTGCAAATTTTGCACTGCCTTCTCCCAAGCAATATTACCTGCACGATCGGCGGCGTGGTCTGGGAATAGGGCGAGGTCACTCCGTACACCGTCTGGCAAGCCTGCCCTTGATAATAGATGGTGGGCTGTGACTGAGCGGGGGAATAGGGGGGCTGCACCGCTACAGTCTGCTGGCTGGAGTCCCACACGCCGTAGCTCTGCCCCTGCACGGGGCCGGGGGCTGGCACTGGCAGGACAGCAACGCTGGGTTCCTGGTGGACCATCGGGTCACTGGGGGCCACGTACTGCGGGGCTGACACCTCCAGGGGGGCTGCTACATGCTGGACGACAGGCACAGGCTGCGAGGCCGTCAGGGCGGGCTCCATCGCGTGGCCCACCAAAGTCTGGGAGTGCTCGTAGGAGGCTGGCGAGCACATGGGCTCCATGCTCGGCGTGGGAAGTAGCACCTTCCCAGCATTGGGGTTGCTGGGGTCCACGTAGGCCTGCATGGGGTAGCCGGGGGGGTAGCCCATAAACGTGTGGTGGGAGGCGCTGTAGCCCATCGAGTCGAAAGGGAGGGGAGAAGCCATCCCGAGGTTCTGCAACTGCTGCTGCTGCTTCTGAGCCTCGCGCTGGGCCACCTCCTGCTCAAAGAGCTTCCGGCGCTCCTCCGTGGACAGCTTGTTGCGGTCCTTGAGCCGAACTTTCTTCTTCGAGGTCGTGGCTGGCGTGTCGTAGCTGAGGAAAGAGAGAACGGGGTTGCCCTTCCCGGCGCAAGCTGGGTTCGTACAACAAATCAGACCAAGCGGAAATGGCTTGGGGTTTAGGCGGCTATGGGAACCCCAGCCCCAGATTTTGCAGGAGAGGATCACACGAAGCTGTCCCAAGCATCGGTGTCCTGCAAAGCAGTGTTTCTTAACTTCAGCAACAACTCCCAGAATTCCCCGGCCAGCATGCTGGTTGGGGAATTCTGGGAGTTGAAGGCTACACATCTTAAAAGTTGCTGAGGTTGAGAAACGTTGCTCTGCTGAATGGAGGTCACTGAGAGCAGATAAAATGAATCTAACATGTACTGATTTGCTAAATTTGGACACTATGAGCAGGCAATTTAACACAGCGTCAAACTAGCCGCAGGTACTTGTTACGTCAGAGGTACTACATCTGTGCTGAAAAACGTGAGGAGGACACATGTGGGTCTCCCAGTGAGATCCTGGGCAACCCCAGGGGTAAAACGCTTAACTAGACGGGCCTATTGACCTGATCCAGTGTCCTTGAAGTCCTAAAGAATTGTGAGTCGGGGAGTTTTTAATGAATTTCAGTCCCTTTGGATTTCACTGAGGACGTCACTGAACTGAACTCGAAGAAACTTTGGAGTTGCCTGTCAGGTAAGTCTCCAGCTTGGAAAGGAGTAGATACTCTGTGGATGGCATCCGAACAGTTGTGAAAAGGTTTAAGGAGCTTTGCCTCCGAAGGGTTTAATACTTTATATGTCTTGGCGAAGTCCCTTTCCGAAATGAGGCCATCCCCCATGCCCTGAAACCCCTTTCCAGGCCAGGTCCAGCGGGGCTGTCATTAATGTCTTAAAGATGCTCAGCAAAACCCATGGTGTCTTGCAAGCAGGGAATAGTGTTTAGGTACTTTTAAGTTTTGATTCCGCCCAGGGCTAGTAGCGATTCCTCTTGGGTGCTAGCAATTGTATTCCTGTTTTTATCTGTTGTTTTTATCTGTTGTTTAAAAAAAAAAACAACACTTCATAAAGATTATTTTATATTTTCTTGTGATGACTGTCTTGTAACATGGACAGTACAAAATAAAAATAAACGAATAAATTAAAAAACACCCTCTCTCTCCCCCTTGCTTTCAGTCTTTGCTATACGCAGCAGTAAACATTAGGGAAAAAGGGGGGTTCAACAAATGCCAACTTGCCGGTCATCTGGTCGCTTGGTGCCTCGCTCGTAGGCCGATGGGGGTGACAAGGAGTCCCGGCGTTTTTTCTTCTCCTTGCTCTGACTTTGCCGTTCGGGGTCCCGTTCTCTGCTCTGGTTTTTGGGGGTGGCAGGTGTGTCTCGGCCCACTGCCTCTCTCCCATGATCTGCTAACAAAATGGGCAAAGGCGTTAGAAGGGACATTTCATTCACAGGCCCAGCTCTTACCAGACTTTGGATGCATGGTGGAAAAACAAGGGAAGAACAAGCAAAACAACCAACCTTCATAAACAACATTTTTGCTTTTCCAGGCAGCTGAGTAGACAAATAAATACAAGGCTAAGAAAACAGATGCTGAGGAACATTCTTTGAAAAATATTAGTACCTGTTTGGCAAAAATGTCTTTGCATGGCCTGGTGAATTTTGACTGCTCTTAAACAGAGTCATTTAAAACAGTCAGCTTCAAGCCATTTATTATAGCTAATAAATACTTAATATTGTGTCTGATCTCAAGTTTCCTTCCAACGTGCCTGTCTCCATTTATGTTATAAAACCTCAATATCTGACAGAAGCAGAAGCAATCATGGTTTCCATTGCACTAGGCTGCAAGAAATACAAATTTTGGGTTGTCCAATTTTGGGCAAATTACAGAACACGTAGCAGTCACTCCAATAACCTAAAATAACAACTCTTTAAAAATTCTATCTCCACAGAGCAGAATTTCATTGGAACGCCTGTTAGTTTTCAGGGTCTTAATAATTCTGTGCTTGAAAGCAGGTTATATTCACTGTGGAAAGCAGAGAATGGGGAATACTTCTACGCATGCCTCAGAAATGATCCCCAGAACATTTAGAAGGAAATGGGCAATAAATTCAACACAAGAGCATTACCATTTCACTGCCTGTCGGCCTGTGGAGCTGTTTGGCACCTGCATCTTGGAGAACAGGCTATATGTAAGAACCGCGGTCCTCAGTTCCCAAGGAAAGCAACTCTCAGTGAAACCAAGGCAGGTTCAAAGGAAAGTTCATTTACTGGAAAGTAGCAACAGCTCTAAAGCCATAGCTGGACCTGAGTCCTGCGCGCACCAAAACTTAGTTCTACCTCACTCCCATTTCACCCCCCCTTCAGTCTTGGAATCTCTCTTGCGCATGCCGAAGATGTCCTCAGGTTCCCACGTTGGTACGGCCTTGGGCGTTCCTGAGAGCCAGGTAACGGTCCATCTGCGCCTAGCGGTTCCCCTCCCAACCTTCCCTCCCTCCCTCCCTCCCTCCCTCTCTCTGTAATGGCAGAAACGAAGCACGAGGACTAGCAGGGCAAGCGACTGACTGCGAGGATTTTGACACTCTATGACAGATATGCCCAGCCATCTTTGACAATGGTTCAAGGGTGTTCAAGTGAAGCAATTGAGAGAGAGAACTACGGACAACGTGGGGCTAAAGGAAGAGCTCTGCTGTGAAATAAGCCTTATTTGAGCTTTAGAGAAGAGGGGCCTTTCTTTAGCGTCGGTTTTCCGAAGCAGGAAAGCTAAAGAGCAAGGGTAAAGGCTGCATCTAGTCTCAATTGCATCTGATCCGAAAGAGGTTTTAAAAGAAAGAAACTGAAAGAAAGGCCTGAAGCCCCTTTCCTGGAGCTGCTGTCCACGCTGGCTGGGAATGATGGGGATTGTAATCCTGTAGGTCTGGAGGGCAGTGCCAGAATTTGGGACAGCTGGGCCAGAGAGTCTTCTAGCAAGCCTCCTTCTTGAGGCCAAATTCAGCTTTGTCATCCTTCTCACAGACCTCACTGTGGCGCTTCATTGGCCCCACTGAAGTAAGAGGGAAATGGAGCACGACAAGGGAGGCCCCAGGGCAAGACGAGCACAGAGCCCTTGGAGGGAAGCCCTGTTTCAATGCCCTTCAGCATCCTTTCCCAGTCTGGAACCCTCCAAAGGCACCAGAACTGCAATTCCCAGAATTCCCGAGGGCCACTTTGTCTGGAGATTCTGGGACGGGTACCCCTGGTCCACTGAACGGTTGGCCAGGCTGGGGGATACAGCCAGGGGTCATGCTGCTGTGGAGGATGGCAATTCTCTTCCATTACATCTGGAGGGCTTCAGGTAGAGGAGGGCTTTCAGTCAATGCTAGGGAAGATGCTGGCGGTCCATCCTTGGACTTGTTCTCCAGCCAGCTGCCCACAGAAAGAAGAGGGATCTTTGCATACATACCACTGGCCTCCTTTTCAACTTGACTCTTCTTCGGGATCCGGTACACCTCCTACAATGAAAGACCAAAAAAGCTAAGTAAAGATCCGCTGTCCATTCAAGCAATCTAATTTATATACTAAGAGACACATCAAAAGAGCAGATGATTATTTAAAATCACAGGGAATAACAGATTCCTTCTACTAGCAAACCTTACCAGGGTCAAAACTTCTAAGCATGTTTCCGCCCCCCCCCCAACAAATTCAAATGACCCAGTCATCTTTCTCCAGGCCTTTTCCTTATTCTTTACAGTTCATCCTTCCTCAACCTGGTGCCCACCAGAGTGGATGCAGCACACCTGCCATCATCCACAGCAAATATGCCATACTGGTTGAAGATCATGGGAGCTCTACGACAATATATGTGCAAGCGCCAGGTTAGGAAAAGCTGCCACAGTTTATGAGCTAGGATGGGTAAGAAAACCATAATTTTAACTAAACCAGGAAGTCATGAATTAACCCCATGGGTGAGAGGAGGAACATCAAAATGCTACTTGTTCATATTCTAGGGCAGTGTTTTTCAAACCTGGCAACTTTAAGATGTGTGGACTTCAACTCCTAGAATTCCCCAGCCAGTCGACACACCTTAAAGTTGCCAAGTTTGAAAAACACTGTTCTAGGGGATCGACTTTGTCTTCTAAGGGAATTTAGCCAATACAAATGATGGGGGCAGTGGTTAGATCCAACTCGTCCTTTCTGTAGATGGAGGCATAAGATGTGTCATCTTAGGCCAACATTTGGAATTGACTGTCTTCCCAGAATCTTGAGCACCTGACCAAGAGCATTAAAAAACACTGTCTTTCTGTGACCTGCAGAAATAGGTAGGGAGCAGGTCAGGGGGTAGAAAGGAGGTTTAACTTTAGATAGCCCTGAACTTACACGGGATACTCCTATGTTTTCTGAGGGGGTGGGGAGAGAAGAAAGAACTGCCATTCTCTCTACTGGTTATAACTCTCCGGTTCTTTCTGTCCGTCCTACATGCTCCCACAGGGCGCTCCAGGTCCCCTCCATGAAGTAGAGTCATCTGAAGAAGCCCAGGAAGTATGTTTTTCTACTGCAGGGCCTGCCCTTCGGGGAACAACTTCCACTTCCTCAAGGTCCAGATGCCCCTGGCCCTGCTGTCCTTCAGGACAGCTCTAGAAACTTGGCTTTTCCTGTGAGTTGGGTCAGGATGATAGAGGAACCTGTCTTCTGGGAGACAGAATGCATGGCTGCTAAGCTCTAGTTGATGTTGTTTCATGTGCTGGTTTATGGATTTCACTTTTTGTTGCATGTTGCATAGTTTTTATTGCCATGAGGTGGTGGCTGTCTTTATTTGAGGTACGCTGCTCGGAGTTGCGATTACACAAGCTGGGCTGCTATAACATTTTTCTCAATAAACAAATAAAAATACTGAATTTCAGGGACAAAGAGCAGAAGAGAATCTTTACAAATGATGGGCTCAATAGTGTGAACAAAGGTTGAAACTGAAGAGAGTATCTGTAGCTCAGGGTTGAACTGTGGGGTCCTTGGTGCTCTCTGAGCTTGGTGGTTGGCTTGAGACGTTTCATGACTCAGCTAGGGAACATCCACACCACTGATGATGTTCCCTAGTTGGGTAATGAAATGTCTGCAAGCCAACCACCAAGCTCAGAGAGCACCAAGAAGTCCACAAAAAGTTGAAAGCCAATAATGGTAAAACTAAAGAAGGGGGTGGGGGGGAGACAAGCTCAACATCATGGAAAGAAAAAGAAGAAAGGACACTAACAGGATGGAGAGAAGCAACTGTTTTTGAACTGACTGGCTACTCAACATTATCAATGTGTGTAGTAATAATGGACTTCCAGGGAAGAAATGGCAGGCTGAAGATGGCTCCGCAAAAAGTGGAGCCAACAACTGTGGTGGAATGAAGAGCCGGCAAATAGACCGGCTCTTCGATAATTCCTCTCCGGACAAGGAGAGGACTTGAGATTGCCCACAAGTGCTCCAGACAGTTGCTCCTTATGAGGAGGTCACAAGATAGCTGTCTCCAGCAGGTTTAGAGCTCTGTGAGAGAGGGAATAACCATCTTGCTCAAATCATGGTCAGCAGCTTTGAAAGGACACTAAGTTCGCATACTTCCTTTTCTAATCACTTTTGGAAATTGCTTGTTAACTGCTTTTCAGCTTTTAGGAACCTTTGGATCGACAAGTTTTATAGCACCAGGCGAGTTTCCTTCCATCCTTAGAGAAAAAAGTGTTAACTACAAGTTTAAGAACTTAATTTTTTTTCTTTTGGAATAAACAGCAAAAGGGTGATTAAAACTTTA